GAGATTGTGGAAATGCTTATTAGTTCCAGCTTATACCATAGGACAGCCTGCCCCTCTACCTCCTGAACAGGAAAACTTGTTCTTACTATTGAAGGTAACAGAAAAATTCCAGTATTTTAAAAAAAGGAGGTCTCTAACAAAGGAGTCCCATTATTATTTCTATACCAAATTGAAGGTCAAAGTGAGAAGTCATACATTGCTAGCATGGGTATGTCACATACCACATACTAAATTATGTATCCCAATTTATGACATTTTGAAGAGAGTGGGGATGGAGGGGGGAAGATGTCAGCACGCATGCTGCTAAGCTCTTACACAGCATACTATCCAATTTTTACCCCGCTACTAGTATTAACTCATACATTGAGTTGTTCATGAGCTCAAGACTAGCATTCCACAGATGCAAGCATCAGTTTAATACTATTCTTTTGTGTATACATACATATACACATACATATGTGTGTGTAATAAATGCACAAGAAAAACCATAAGAATTATTTTTAACCACTTGTTACAATGATTCTTAAGTGATGGCCAGTTTAACAGATGTTACGCCTCTTAAAATGCCTCATTTAAAACTACATTGGCTTCTCAGCTCATCATTTTTAACCTTATTTATCATTACCTTGAATCTTGCTGTGGGCTAGTTATAGCTTCCACCCCCATGTTTAGTCACTTAGGGACGCTGGATAGTAAAAATTCTTACATTTAATGCCTTTCTGCTTCTAATTTTTTCATCTTCCTGAAGCTGACTTTCTTCACAACAAACACGCCATCTCTTTTTTGCATTACTGTGCTATGAAGCAGTTTGCCCTTGGTGAAGTTTAACTAGAAGCAGGATAAGTGAGTACATATATTTCCACTTCAATATTCACACATCATTTGGTGAATGCCTTTCCTTCTTTATTTATATAACAGGGTTTTAACATAGCATTTCAGCTGTCCCAAAGCAATGCAATATACCATCATACAGAAGACAGGGTAGAATCACACCTTACAGACCAACTAGATTAAAGATGCATAAGTTTTCCTAAGCTACAACTCGCTTGCTACCCCTGGCCAGCCTATGGCCCCATGTCATCCAGCAAGCAGGGGTCCCCACAGGTCTGGAAATTTGGTGGTGGAAGAGCAGTAGCACCCTCCACACTCCCACTGACAAATTTCTGGATGCCTGGGGAACCCTGGGCCCTGAGCTCAGGATTCGGCAACTGATCCTAGTTTACAGGGCTGGTCACCAGGCTCCCAGGACCTGGTGTCCAGCATGCTGAGGCAAGAGAGGGGCCAGTGCCAGGCCCCTGGGCCCAATCTTGGTGTGTTAAGCTTGATCCAACCTAGTGACCAGCCCCACCCCACTCATCTGGCCCAGAATTAGTCTACAGAAGACAGAACTCCTCCCTCGTCATCAGCAATCCCTCACAGTTGAGGATGATTGTCTTCCCCAATTGCTTTATCTGTGGGGCCAAAGATGGCCGACGAGGCCAACCTGGGATCAGACTCAGTTGCAACTTGGGCACGTGTTTCTGTGTAGCACTACCTTACCACATGCCGGACTTCAGACTAACACAGTCTCTCTCCCTGTGCATATTATCCTGCCATCAGATGCATGCAAAACTGGTAGCACTGAAGGCAGGACATTCAACTCTAAGATAGAGAAGAGTTTTGCAATGCCCTCTGTTAACTCCCTTAGTCCAAGAACTACTGATCATCAATGCCCGAGTGCTGAACTGTATTTGACTGTAGTGTAGTAGCCTTAAAAACTCCCACAGAATTTGAGAGGAATATTTGTCAGAGATGCTTTCATTCTCAGACAGTTTCTTTTAGTGAAGTAAGTCCAAATTTAAAATAATAATAATAATAATAATAAACACCCTCAAACAACTGCACTTTGGATGCTTGCTCAGGGGCCTGATGAATCAAATGCAGCCTAAAATGTCACAAGGATTAGCGTCCTTTACTCCCACATTAAAGGTCCATCTCCCATTTCCTCCCCACCCCAAACTTAATTTAGAAAAGGGAACTACTTGGTTTATTTTTGATAAAGGATTGATGATTTACTTCAGATATGGATTAGAATGCTTCATTTACACACCTAGCTGTGCCCCATCATCATAACGTAAAGAGAGGAGGCTAGGAAATGCTGCTGTCCCATAATAGCAATAGCAGTGATAACACCACCAGCATAACAAATGCAGGCTCAGACTAAAGCAATTGCTAAGAATGTGGTAACTCTTTCTAATGCTAATTTGATCATTAATGCATGAGATCAAGGATTCTATTTGACTTCTCTAATGCAGCAGAGTATCCATTTCTTATCTGACAGATAGCAAGGGTCTGATCCATTTCACCATTTAATCCTGTCCTGTAACTCATCTGAAGCTTTAGCTGAACTAATTTCATTGCTGAAGTTACTTTTCTAAATGTTGAACAGTATTTATGAAAACATAAGAAAACAAATACTAACAAAGAAGGAAATATTTTTTTCCTGGCTAGGCCATCTTCCCCTCCAAGCTGTTGATGCTGGTATACGGCCTCTCCTAAATTTTACCAAATTGTTACACTTTTTCTACGGAACATCCCAGCCACAAGTTAGTTAAACAAAAAGTCAATAAACCCCACTGTTTTAAATGTGAACAGCTGCATTTTACTGAAGTCATTAACCTTATTCCAATTTATACTGCTATGTTATTCAGAAAAAATGTTCTTCTCAATCACAAAAAAGAGTAAAACAAGCAGTAGTTTTGCTCATTAAAAATCAAAATATTAGAGAATGGATTTAAAAAAGTCTTTATGTTGCCAAAGATGCAAATAGATGGTACCAGTACATCAAACTCGTGTCAGAAGAGAAATCCGAGAGCCAATCATGCAAAGTACAATTAAAAACAAAATGCAAAAATGTATGGCCTGCTTTGTCCAGATTGACAAGCATATGCTAAGAGTCAAAAACAGCACCCCAAAGTCTGAGGATTAGCTTTTACTCTTGACTTGGTTGGGGCAGATGTCAGAAACTCAGAACAGCCTTCTCACCAAAATAAATAATAAAAGGAAAAGGGACTTTACAAACAAGGTCAGTCCAGTTGCCCACTTGAGTATATGAAGTTCAGTAAGTAAACCACTTCATAGACGGAAAGCTGGTACATCCTGTTGAGACAGCTGGTCATCACAGCAAAGTGTATTCATCTGTCAGCTATCTACTGTTTTTTCATTGCTGTGGGACACGTTAGCTCACAAGGAAAAGTTCTGATGGACAACCAGATGGATTATTACAAGGCCAATAGAACAAAAGAAAGAAGGAGCTAGCAGCAGGAACCTAATTAATGTTGACCTCAACTTTCTATTACTGTACCACACAGCTAGCAGTCTGCTTCCCTCGGAGAGATGCCAATGTCACTCTACCAAAGCCAACCAGGATTGCCTGGTTTCTCCTACATAGGCTTGCAATAGCACTTGACAGAGGTACACAGTGAAAGACATTCTGGGATTCAACAGCACTAACTGCTTTTTCCAGTCTTCCCACTTCGTTTTTTGTTCCATTAATCTGGTTGTGGCATCTACCCATCTTCTACAACTGTCTTAGGGCTTATCTATACATGGAAATAACCTCTCCTAAATAACACCATAACTTGACAAGACCTTGGTCTCACTTACAAACTTTCTATGGCTGGAATTTCAGGTATTGGAGAAACTGTATCAATCTACATTTTTTCTTAACTGCCATGCGTAGTCTTTTGATGCTATTCTGTTCACTGCACTTCAATCACAGCAGTAGCATAGCATTTACCAGGTATGCACAAAACACCATAGGGAAAGACTTGTTAGTTCCACAGTCAAACTAAAATTAAAACGTTACTGCTCATTCACAGAATACCACGGTCTAGGTATTTCATCACTATATTTCAAAGTACCTTACAATGAAGGCAAGTGCAACTGGTCCCATTTTGCACAGGCCCCATTTACTCAAGCATAGGGAAGCAAAGCAACCTGTCCAAGTTACCCAGTAGGACAATGTGACAAGTACATAGAAAGAAGGAAGGGTAGATCTGCACCTTTACAGACTAATAAAATCAGGGCATGAACTTTTGTAAGCAGAGGGTTTCCTTCATCAGATTCTGTGAAGGGACTGCAGGAAGCAGAGCTGCTAAATAGAGAACAATGATTAGAATACAAAGGGTAGGGAAGGTGGGGAGAAAAAGGAGGGTGCATGGCCCAAGACAGGTAAGGTAGGTAGGAGAGAGAAAAAAAAAGCAGTTAATCCATTGAGGGACACAGGGCTTATAGGAAAAGTTCATTCAGGTAGGAGCATAAGAATCCAGTCTTGGTTTAAACCAGTGGTTTTCAGCCTTTTCAGGTTTCAGGCACCACTCCTTAGGCTTAAGCCTCTTACAAAAAGCCAGGCCTTAGTTTTCACTCCATACCTGTCTACAGAAAAAAGTAATAAGAGAAAATCTGCTGCGAAGTACTCAGAAAGACCACAACAGATCAGAATGCTTTTAATATTACAGATCGCTGTTTGAAGTCTCTGGATTTATCTTGTCAATCACAGCTGCACACCTACCAATGCTGGCACTGAGTGGCGTCCCACCATGGCACCCTGTCTGAGAATCACAGGTTTAGACCATACTTAATCTAGCCTGTAGATGATTTCTTGTTTGGCAGTTTCCTGTTCAAATTCATTTTTAAAGGTCTGCCATCTAAGAACAGCCATTCTGAGGTCAGTGATGGGATGTCTAAGGAAGTTAGAGTCAACAAACATACACTGACAAATCAACAGTGAAGCAAGTGAACCTCAAAACTAGTTTAAAAAAACAAAACAAAAAAAACTGTTTCTAACCAGGGTAAATTTCACTAAAAATTTACCTAGGACAATTCCTCCTGACCAAAGAGCAACTAAACAAGAGAAAAAGGACCAAAACAGAGTAGTGCAGACTTTCTCTCCTACCCACCATACTACAGGAAGTATTGTGCAGACAATTACAACATAAAACATTTAAAGACAACCATACCTGTATGAAGTTGAACCCTCCCTACGACTCCTTCTACCAGACCAAGACAAATAGGATTCCAAGCCAGAAGAAGGTCAGTGGCTGCAAGGAGGGGTGAGAAAAAGGAGGTAATTAAAAAAAATCTGAAGCATAAAAGTTGACACAGTATTACAGATCTAACAAGTTACATGTTCAGGAATTTTTATAATACCATTGCTTTTATCATCAAAATATAACAGTCTTTAAAAACAGCCAGCCCGAAAGATTCCAACTTACCAAAATAGGATAAATTTCACCCAGAACAGTCAGTTGGTTTCTTTCCAAACCTCATGACTACAGTTTAAAATGCATGCCTCAAAAATTTTCAACATGCAGTAATGAATAATCACCAGCTTTTACAGTAAATATACCCCTCTGATTTCAAAAATAACAAACATCTTAGTTAATTCTAAGAATACTGAAGTTTAAGATTTTAGATTTTGTATTAGTTGTGCTAACACCCCTCGGGTTTTTTTAAATGCCTCTAGTAGTCAGGCAAGTATGCCAACGCAACAGCCAAGTACCTATGAGTTAGAAAGTCACATCATTCTGTCTTGTTATAATGATATGATGGGACAATATTTTCATATTTTATCATGGCTAACTGACCAAAATCTTTCAAATCAGATGATCCAATATCAGACTCTGATATCAATGTGAATATTACAGTGTAATTAAATAAGACAGTTATAGCTATAGAAACAAGGATGTTAGGCCATTTACTCAGTTGGATGGTTATTATAGGAACACCTGCAATAAAATATAGTTATAAAACTGAATTGACAATCCCTTATGTCTACAAAAGTACTAAAGTCCAAACATTGTACAGCAAAGGTGTGGACACAAGAATGTTTGGAGCCCTTTTTAAAAGGGCAAGGGAAGCAGCTGGTACACTCCAATTGGCATGTGGGAATGAGCTGCAAATGATTCAAATGCAGCAAACCCCCTCCAACTTTAATCCTAAAGGAAGGAATGTTAAAACTTGAGGGTTTACTTCATTTGAAGCATTCTCACCTCATTCCCACATACCAATTACGATGCACCAGCTGCTGCCCTCTTGAAATATTCCCCTTTAGAAAAAGGCTCCAAGCGTGGTGTGCCCACACCCTTTTCTCCTGGTTTTAATTTAGAGCTGTCCTTTATTAACAGATACATTTTTATTCTTGTCTCAATCATTCCCAGTAGCTTACACAAAATAAGTTAGTTTGCACCATATCCAATTTATCTATTTCCCTTGCTATTACATGGAGTGCACTGTTGAAAGCCAGCATTTCATTTGCATTTAAGGACATTCTTCTCAAACTGCATTAGTAAATCGCATATGGTAACAAATGTCTCACTTTATAAATACTGCTTTACAAAATGGCACTCATAGTCAAAGCCAAACTTTTTATTTTACCCCAAAATTCTCAAGTACAACACAGGGTTTTGAAGGCTTATCCTCCATTTCCTTTCAACCTGGCACCATTTATGTAGAAATAGAATTTAACAAGTTCCATAATTAGGACTGACATCCCTGATAGGATTTTCAATCCCTAGTTAAAATCTGATCACACACCTTCCACACAAACGAGGACTAAGCTGCATCTCCAAGACTACAGACACTGCATTTGTCCCAGGATTAGCCATTATATGCCAGGACAAAATGTGACCAATTCCAATATCCATGCCCACTGTCCCAGGATAAATCCTAAAACGGTTCACCAGATAAAAAACAACATTTTGATCTTGGGACATTGCACAGTGCATCTAAACAGTTATCCCAGGATTGCATCACTGAATCCATAGCAGAACGGCAGCACTGCATTTAGCCACTGAGGCAAAGTACAGACAGTCAAAAAGCCCGAGGCAGAGTCGATTCAATCTACGCAGTTTCCTCTAAACTGCAAGGACTGAACTGATAAGTAACTGAACTGAGTTTCAGTTTTCATTTGGGAAAGGCAGGGGGAGACCCGTGCTGAACCTGGCGGGGAAGTGCATCTCCCAGTCAGCTGGCCATTGCCAGCCCAGCCAAGTGGGGCCATCCAGGCCTGGCTCCCCAGTACATGCCACCAACCCCCTGCTGTTCCCCCACTCCAGGGGTTGAGGAGCCCCCTGGTCCAGGTGCTAGCTCACCTTGGGGAGCCTCCTCCTGAAGGGGTTCCCAAGCCTGGGGCATCCCCAGGGAGCTGAGGAGAATTCTTCCCCTCCCAAACCTCACAGTTGCTAAGCTCAGCCCTGCCAGTCTCATGAACAGCCTGGGGCATCCTCTCGGGGCAGAATTCTGTGTAGAGCCTGGCTAGGGGGTCTGGCTGTCTGTTCCCCTGCCCTTCCCCATGGGCTGATGGATGTAGGCAGGAAGCAGGCTAGGGAGCAGAGGGGTGGGGCAGCCCCTGTTCCACTGAAGCAGACAGCACAGCCCAGGGCTGCAAAGCTTCCTGGGATGCTGGGGGACCGTGAGTTAACTTGAACCAGCAAGGGATCTGGGACAGAAGAAGTTCCATAAACTGGTTTGACCGAAATCACTTAAGTCTGATACTACATCCAACCAGATTTACCTTAAACCAGTTTTGCCCATTCTGAAAGTGGTTTATATATACTGAAAGTCTGTTCCATTACAGGTTTAAACCAATTTCTGATCACTTAAACCAGTTTGTGTGTAACTTCTGTCTCTGGACCCTGATTAGAAGGGTGACATACGTACATGCCAATCCCAGGATATTTCTGTTGCAGGACAAAACCCAAGCAGAACTAATCCAAGGACAAATGCAACATCTCTTCCTAGCTCAGTAGACTTTGTCTATCAACAATCCACACTACTCTGTCCAAGTCAGCTGACAGCAGCTCAGAAGTTATTTAGGGTCACTGTCTCCTGCTTACCCTTCACACTTACTGGGTAAGTCTAGCTATAATGAAGAAGAGGAAGTAGTTGAAGAGGGAGGCAGGCAGGGTCAAGTATAGACTTTTTGAAGTTGGAGAGACTAAAGAATGCTCGTATTGCTTTAAAAGAAAAATAAAACGAGCCACAGGAAAGCAAGAGATTAAAGAGGTCAGTGAGGGAAGAGAGAGCAAAGGAGATCAGAGGGAATAAAGTCACTGGGAGAGATGGAGGAGCCATAAAAGAACACTTGAGAAATTCCTACCCCTGCAAGGTGAGGAAGGAAAAGGTTGAAGAAGGAAAAGTTCATGGTATTTTCTAAAGTTTATTTTGAAATGCGCGAGATAGGCAAACTGTGTATAGCGACAGGTGTGACGACATGAAGATGGGAGGGTCCAATAAGCAAGTCAGAAGGACACAAGAAGTCTGTGGGGTTGCAATTATGGTGAAGAAGTAAGGGTTTTTTGCTAAAAAGATGACAATCGAAAACAGGAAAAACATGTTCAAAAGGAAGAACATTAGTTTTGTCTAGGGACTTGCTAGAGATGCTCCATGGCTGAAGAGCCAGAGCAGAGGAAGCCGACAGACATACCCTACCAAGATTCAAAATGGAGGACATTTTCCTAGTTATATGTTCGTTTTTACTTTCTCTCGCACACAAAAAAAAAAAAAAAAACTAATTAAAAAAAAAACAAATCATTCGGATACACAATTTGCACTAACATTTAGCTTTGGGAGTTTTTTTTAAGTTCCGAGCTACTAATTTGTTAAAACTGTACGGAAATGCTCCATTGCAGATTAACATTAAGATGCTGCTTATAAATCTCTGATTTTATTACTTTATAAGATGCAAGTTTACACCTTATCTTTTGCCTAACATCAGGCAATGCCATTTTCTCTGGCATCTCTTCAGTTTTCTACAGCAGCTTCTGACCCCAGATGCTTACAATTTTCTGACTATTGTTATTAATCTAAAACAACTTACTTTCTGCTGCACAGTAATGGCAGAGCATGCCATTCCAACACTTCCATCTATGCTTGTACAGACACTTATCACCATTCCGAAGCATATGAAATACCTTCCCACCCCAGCAAGCTATGGGAAAGTAGGACCAAATAAAGTTTTGCATCTTGCTCAGACAATGCTAAAAATTCAGAATTAATTACCCTAAAATATTCAGATAGTAAGATGCAGATTTCTCTGCTACTAACCTAGAAAAGAGGTCTTTGTCCACAACTTTCATTCTTGGTGAATAACAGGATGACAGTGCCAGTAGGACAACTATCTAGAGAATGTCATCATTGTACAAGGAGAAAGACTGTGCAAGTAATTCAGCCCATTACTACAGGGGGCTTTTATGCTGAATGAAATTAAGTGGTGCGCTTGATTCCATCCCTAATGCATAACAGGGAAGTTTTGCTGAACTGGGACCTTTAAAAATGACGATTTGAAACTAGGACACTTCACTTACAGAGCACTTACGATATTACTGACAGTACACTAAGTAACAAATTGAGGCTTTGCTTGGGGGATAGAGATGGTAACTTAACAGACAATGCAGAGTAAGTATAACTTTTTACATGTAATCTCCCTAAATCTATGTGTTGTTGCTTTTCTTTTTTTTAAAAAAAAAAGCAGGAAAGGAAGACTCCCAGTGTTACAGCTCACTCTTAGTTCCTGTTTTCTTACAAGAACAATCATAATAGTAGAAAGCAGGTTAGGGCTTGTAAATAGCAGTTTTAAAAGTTGGGGAAGTTACTTGCTTGAAAACAGGATCAGAAAATGTGGATGGTAAACAGAAAGAAAACTGTTCCAAAATGTTTCCTTTTCACGCTCCTTGCTGAGCAGCTAGAAAGTGTTAATTTGCAAGAATTATCAGACTGCATTATAGAATGGGTCACACAAAACGCATCAGCAATCATCACAGAAACAAATCCTTATTAACTCTGCTCTCCTATTTTCCACCTTGTAAATGCAAGGTAGTCTCAGGGGTCAATAAATTATCCATTTCCTACCCACACACGTCTACCAGACTCAAAGTCAAGGTTTGATTATAGGCCCATTTTTAGACCCTTAGGATGTTTTTGCAACCCTGCTAAAGGCCACACAGTCCATAACCTCACCTGTACAATTCAGTAAAATATTTATTGTGGTTATTAAGCATGAGTAACAAAAATGAAACTCTCTCAAATCCCAGGCTGAGTT